TGGAATATGTCCGCGATAGGTGTTTACTTCGTCGTGTTTGTCGTATTTCGGGTACTTTATTTTCACAACTAGTTCGCGATGGCTTCCGGCGAATTGGGACAACAGACCAACAGTCCCGGGCGTTGTTAATGGTATTAGTGATTTAAATTCAACATCAAATTCGAATTTGAATTATTTATTAGGCAAACGTTTCTTCACAACAAAAATTTTTTTTTTTTTATTGCTTGGATGGGTGGACGAGCTCACAGCCCACCTGGTGTTAAGTGGTAACTAGAGCCCATAGACATCTACAACGTAAATGCGTCACCCACCTAGAGATACAAGTTCCATGGTCTCAAGTATAGTTACAGCGGCTGCCCCGCCCTTCAAACCGAATTAATTAACATGGATACGTCATACCGCAAAACAATATGAACAAAATTTGCAAATTAATTGTACGTTAATTACACAATCGTATAAACAACGAATAATCGGCCCAACGATTGATTTCAATAATTACTAGCTGAAAAATCATTCAAAGTTAGTAGTAAATCGAAAGTCAATTATTTTAATTTGAATATATTGTCAGTTACGGGAAGGTATTGACTACTAAAAGGTATAATAACGATAATTGATTAGATACTAACGTTTTGTGTTGATTATTGACGTTGACTATTGACTAGTGGTATTGTCTTAGCTAATATATGTAGGATTTATTGGCAAAAGAAAGGGACTCTTGATCTATTCGAATAAAATGAAATACAATTCGCTCGGAATCGATTATTAATTTCATATATTTCACATAAAGCTTATTATTATTAATTGAATCATTCATCGATTGTTACGTATCTCTATTGGATGAACTAATTAATTTAAAAATTTTCATTCCTATTAACTTTTATAATTTTGATATATAGATCAGATGAATAGACTCAGAAGGATTTGAAGTTCAGCTTTACACAAAACATTCAAACAGAAGTCGTCAGAAAAACCATAAAAAAAGAAACAAAGAAAGATACATCAAAGAAACTGACGAAAAAGAAAGAATAAAAAACATTCCAGTGAAAACCATCGACCAGTACAGTCGGCCACAAAACAACGATTTAACACAGGTACGAAGCGGAACAGGAATGGCAATCCCGAAGCCACGTTGCCAGATCACTTGACGCCATCGCGAATGTAGACTAAGTTTTTCATACTCACATAAAAACGCCAACTGTACATTTCGCTGAAGTACGTTTCCATCTGTTAGCGTTAAATAAAACACAGACATATTAGTCACGAATATTTTGTAAATATACCATATATTGTAGATAGATAATTGCGTTTTTTTTGACGTAAATATTTAAAATAATTTCAAAAGTCTTTCGTACGTGACAGTACCAAAATTTTATGTTTTGTTTTAAATAATATCAAAAATCTCATTTCAACTATAATATATCGGGCTTACTTAGATATTAATAAAGTAATTAAAAGAACTAGTTCTTTTAAAGGCTTAGGTGGTTTTTCGACGTCACTCGAACTCTTAGGATTGGAAGCAGATAAATGAAAAAAAAAGAGTGTATTTAACCAAAACTGATGACAATAAAAGTGAATTAAACTCTGATTTAGTTTTGACGAACTCAATGTTCTAAAACAGAAATACGAAAGCGTTGAAGCGGTAAATTAAAACTAACTGCATCGTTTGGCCGGCAAAAACTTCTACAAAACAGAAGTTTAATGCCTTGTTAATTTAGCGATAGAACGAACCGACTGAGTTTCTCGCCGGATCTTCTCAGTGAGTAGCGATTCCGATCCGGCGGTAGATTCAACGAAGCACTATTCTTATTAGGGCTAGTGTTAGCAATTCTCAGGTTGAGCCTGTAAGCTCACCTACCAGTCCATAGGCGGCATAGATTTTAGGCTACCACCGATTAGGTGGGAAAAAATAGTCGAAAGCACCTAGTGAAAATTGGTTCGACAACTTAACAGCTTACTCTGATCAAGCTACTGTAAGGAATTATAAGAATAATTATTCATATTGCGAAAATTTTCACACTAAATAATTTAGTACCGCTTTATTGATATAGGCAAGGCTATACAACTCTTAGCGCCCAAGTTTCTTTAGATATTTTAATTAGGTTTACTTAGGGACAAGCTACGTAAGTATTGCTGCTAAAGATAATTAAATAGAGCCAAAGTTTTTTTATTGCGTTGACGAGTAAATGATTACTGGTGGTAAGAGCGAGTCTTGTGAGCCCGCACGGGTACGTACCACCACCCTGTCTATTTCTGCCGTGAAGCAGTAATGCGTTTCGGTTTGAAGGGCGAGGCAGCCGTTGTAACTATACTGAGACCTTAGAACTTATATCTCAAGGTGGGTGGCGCATTTACGTTGTAGAAGTCTATGGGCTCCAGTAACCACTTAACACCAGGTGGGCTGTGGGCTCGTCCACCCATCTAAGCAATAAAAAAAAAATGAATTCGCGGCCCGATTTTAAGTGGGTTATGATGTCTATACATCACAATGTGTATGCCTCCACCCATCTTGAATCATAAGGTCTAAGTATCAAATGTACAAATGTATTTCCCAAACTACAAAACGTATTTATTGGATACTTCGCGGTGGAAACAGGCAGAATGACGGTACTTAACAACGATGACTTACGTGCTACTAATATTTGTATTCATTCTAAAATAGCGGATTAACAAATACAAAAAATCCTCAAAGCCTTTTTGCTGTATGAGACATTTAATTTATTACTCGTTACAAATTTAACTGTACGCAGTTATCTCAAGATATATCTCGATATATGAAAACCTGATGCCGCCATTTTGTAATTTCGCAAATTTGTTTTTGTCCCAATTAGGATGTGGGCTGTGGAGCTAACGAACTCAAGGTCCACTTGGTGTTCAAATGTTATCGCAGTAAATATAATCAACATGAATTCATCCTTCAGCGATTCGATTGGAATTTCAGTATTGTATCGTAAAGATAACTAACTGTACTAGCCATAACAATGACCACAATACGACACACCACCACAAGCGACGCCTTAATTGTTTAATTACATCTTAATTTTATTATACGGTCATATTCCTTCGCCGTAGTAGTTGTGTAACATATGTATTAAATTGGAAAGATTTGTGTCACAAAAGTCGCACCACAGTATAGTCATATGCATGTTAAACAACAACAAAAAAAAACAGTAGAATTTTAAACGCTAATTTTTTTTTTTATTCCCCTTGTAGGCAGACGAGCATACAGCCCACCCGATGGTGAGTGGTTACCGTCGCCCATGGACTTCAGCAATGCCAGGGGCAGAGCCAAGCCGCTGCCTACCGCTAATTATATCTGGGATGCTATTTGCTAAAATCTATTTTAATCAACTAGCTATAACATATTGCCTTCGGTTCTTTAATCATAACTACTTTTACGGTTCAATTTCGCGTGTATTATTGTAAATATCTAAACAATAAACGACAGTACATACAGTAACAGTAGTTTTAATTGTAGCTTGCAACACTAGCACACCTAAGTCACATTCGAGCTTCATCGGGCGAAATCGGAATTCCCGAATACGCAGATGTCACTAGATGTCAAGTCGACAACCATTCGCGCGCCGATTTAATATTTAACCTAAAAATATCTTCGGAATATGTATATAATTACTATCTCCTATTGCCTTCTTTTTCTCAGTTTCTTGTCAATATTATAATATACTGTATACTCCCAAAGCAATATATTGTGTGATTGACTTGTTTCTGAGCGCAAATTTCTCACTAAGGCTATAAATAACAAACCACATAATTATGAAAACAATCAATAGCGAAAAAAGGTTGAGAATGTTCAAACCATACTATCTTAGATGGCTCCTTATCCCAGCGACAGACCGTCTGTGTCTACATTAGAAATTATACAATAGATCGATCGCAAGCTAAGATAATATTGAAGACTTTGAAAATAATTATTAACAACCACTCTGAAATGAGATCAAAAAAGGCAGAATTGAATATATGCAATATATTTAAGATAAGACGAACGAAATCATAATATCTCCCTACACAAAGAAAATATGCGATGTGTGCTCTTTAAGAGATGAGAAGATTTTTTCCAGCATCCTCAGAGCCCATTTATCTACATTTCAGGTAATTGGCCCTTTAAGGACAAACACGTTTTGTGAAGATTTTTATCTGAGTTTTTTTTCAGGTAGGTAACGTATATTTTTATATTGTAGTCAATAAGTCTTTGTAATGATTAGAACGATTTATTTATAAATTCTGTGGTCGAAGAATTTCTATTATATTTACAGAAATTTTGTACTACTAATATAAATCGACAGATGATTTTTCTTTCCTATCTTTGTACACGTATCGGCATAGTAGAGAAATTTCGCATAAAAAAAAATTAGGTGGCCATGGGTTGTATTAAATTAAGTTGTATTCATATTTTTATTAGGCAATAAATTCGTTCAATTTCAAGCGTAATCAGGCAGGCAAAATTTCCGAATAATACATTTCCGCAAAATTATAGTCGAATCATAAAATGCAATCAAAAACACCAATGTACTAAAAGCGCTTAAAGGTCATAAAGAAATTGTGCGAGGCGAATAAAGAATATTAATATTCTTTAAGACGTTAAATGACCTAAATTAATGAGCGCTGTAAATTACGTTTTATTAACTCATATATTTCATTTTACGATACTCGATTCCATAATTGAATACGATATTTGATTGTTCGTGGAAGTTAACATTAACAACAATGTCGTTGATAAAGTAAGCTTGTAAATCAAACAAACGTAGAAATAATCACCAAATAATAATAATAACGAGGACACTAAAGAAAATCCGTGCAAATTAAATATAGTATACCTCAATTGTTCAACAAAAGTAGCTGTTATTGACAATCATGGACAACAGGAATCGATTGATGTGTTAAATCGGTTAGCAGATCTTAAAGAATCGAGTTTTTGATTAACTTTTCATCAATCAAGGAGGATTTTAGGAGTTATTTTATATTCTAACCTGCAAAATACGTACCTTATAGTTATATACGAAGATGTCACTATGCCCTGGTCCCATTGGATTATCATTCCTGTCACCTATGACGACATGTAGCACCGAAACACCCGTCAACCTCGGAGTGCCAGAGTCGGTTATAGCTACAGGTATCTTATATTCTTTTCTTTGTTCTCTATCAAACGATACTAATGTAGAAAGGATGTTCCCTGAAAATTTAAAGTGGCGTTAATGACATTGTTATGCCCAGTTTTTTGGCACGGATGTGATGGATCGTTCACAACGAAGCTGCTATGCCATTACCAAAGTCTGGTGGTGATTGCCCCCTTTGGACACGTCGAAATAGTGTCAGTCACATTCAAATACCGTTCTTAAAAGTAGAATCCCAAATTTTTCGCACCAGAAACTAACAACACAATGGATAATTTGGGTTAAAGACATTTTACCTTTACCCTCAATTCACGTGCTTATTTTTTCGTCGTCGTCATTTTCGACGACTCAAGTAAAATACGCATACGTTTTTTTTTTGGGATTTCATTAATAAATCGCAGAGCAATCGTTCTAGCGGTTACGTCGTATAAACGATTTATGTTTAGGCAGGATAATGGGATATTAGAGACCAAAACAAATTTGGCAAATATAATTTTTCCTTTCTCTTCTTGAAGAATTATCGTTCCCACTGGAAAGATATGAGCGGAATTTTTATTGGGTAGTTATCCTAGAATTATTTCGAGAACAGCATTTGATGAAGTGACACTCGGATATTATTAACAGTCGCCGTTCTAGTTCAATAATATTACGTACATTTTTTTCATATTAGGTCTTTCGATTCTAGGATGTAATTGCTTTGATGCTGCTTTGTTTTATTGCCTATCGGCACAAGGCTCACAGGGTTTGTCATTTTCAAAAACCCTTGGAAGCACAAACTGAACGAGATCCCTCACCTTCTCAGGATGTAGATCTATATAGATGGGAAAGAAACAGTCAAGTATTTTCTCCCTTTTTGTCAACCGATTTTTTTTTCTCTTTTGTTTTGTAGTTATTGACGAAAATCAGAACTTAGACATATGATAAGAATCAGTAAACTTCGCGAGGCTTACTAACGTTAGCAACTCCATAACCCCGAACGCTGACTTTGAATCGAATCGACACTTTCCTAACCGAATTACAGCTTCGCTACGACGTCATTTAATGCATGTTAACTACACTAATTGATCGAAACTCGATTTTGAGGGCTTCTGCGAGAATTTTGTGTGGCGCGGCTTTGATCGGCGGGAATCTGCAGAGCTGCGATAATAAGTTTAAGCTCCAGTGGAACTCGCGTTTCAATTGGTCTGGTAACAGCGTGATTTGAATGAACGAGTTGAGTATTCTATTTGGATTTTAACCTTTTTCCTGGAGATACGAATCATTTATAAAAAAAAAAAAATTGAAACAATTTAAACTATTCAAATTGATAATTTGAGATCACGGTAATCCCGACCTTACTTCCAATATTGGGTTTCGCATATAACTTCCATCTATATAACTAAATATTTAAACTTAATATTAAATTTGTGGCTTGTTACGTATTCTATGCTTGGTTTGTACAATTGATTTGTAAATTTTTTCGGTTTCGTACGATAGGTGAAAGACGAGTGGTTTCAATATGATGACGAAATTGACATGGATTATCGTCAATTTAGAATAACATCAATTTTTTTCTTATTCCTTTAGATAAGCAGACGTGTCTAGGTGTTTTCGTGGTTATATAGATAATGATTTGTGATATATGTAATATAGATATGTGATAGATCACAAACACTATTATTTAAGTATTCGGAAAAAGATGTTGGAGTGTATATTGTCGCGGCGAGTTATCAAGTTCCAGTGGTAACTCCAAAAAACAAAAAACTAGAAAAGGAGGTAAGATCGATTTGTCTGCTCCTATCATCTACCCGCAATCTTCAGTCTACCGATGAACGTGGCGTTTACAACAGCCCTGAAATGATGAGAACTCATCAGAAGTGTCTAACGTCTTGCGAGTTTTGCGACATGAAATCGTATCTGAATCAACAGTGGAAACTCCGCCGTGACAATCAAATTCTATTTGTGATATCTATGAACTCCAGAAACCAATGAGCTCTTCTACTGATCTAGGGGAATAAAAAGAAAGAAAAAGTGATTTCAATTGAACATTAATTACACTCACCTTGTATTTGGAATTTGGATCGGATGTCAAAAGACGCAGATTCGTTCAAAGCGAATGTGAATGGCGGGCCATTCTCGTTGGAGTCGTAATCTTTCGCAGTCAGCACCACAACCTGGCCTGGTGGCTCATTCTCGTACCAAATGACCGGCTGAGTCTGTGGATTGTTAATCAACATTATAAGTTCTAATCTTTACATGGTAAATCCCCTAAATGAAAACGTAAATATTGCAAACTTAATTCGTCGTCACTACAAAACATTTTTTTTTTATTGGTTAGATGGGTGGACGAGCTCATGACCCACCTAGTGTTAAGTGCTTACCGGAGCCCATAGGCATCTACAGCGTATATGCCGTCACCCACCTTGAGAAATGCGTTTTAAGGTCTCCGTTTTTATAATACAACTGCTTCACGGCAGAAATAGGCAGAGTGGTGGTACCTACCCGTGCGGGCTCACAAGGCGTCCTACCACCAGAAAATATATCATTGTTTGAATGTGTGTGTGTGCGTATTCTTGATACAAGTTTTTACGACCATTATCCAACTCCAACAATAATTAAAGATACTCGGAAAATATATTAATCCAAAACTTTTTTGTCAGCTTACACAGGTAAGAGAAAACGAAATGATTCGATGTATATCGATATAATATACTCGACAGGCGCACGCATTCTTAATCCCCTACGGTCGTCCCATGACCTTCACTGGGAAAATCTTTTGTATATTTTCGTATTATCCTTTTTATCGCCAAATGAAACGCATTTAAAAATTGGTTTTGTTCAAATATATTTAATTTATGCAAAGATGGCAAAGACTTTTCTTCCTACCTATGCTGATAGCCTTGAGAGGCTATTTCAGCTTACCCTAGCGTGTGTAGGTGAGCTCACGGGGCTCAAACCGGAGAGTTTCCAACACTGACCCTAGCAAGAGCAGTGCTTCGAAGAATCTACCACCGGGTCGGAAACGCGACCCACTGAGAAGATCCGGCGAGAAACTCAGTGGGCTGTGTCTGTAGGTTAATTCGCTTGTCGACCCCTTCGTCGCAAGCGACGGGTTCGACGAGGACAGTGATCGGTGCTTGTAGTGCCTAAAAGCACCGTTAATAGATCAGGAGGATCCGTGATGACGTGCTTTGGGCGACGTCGACGGTTTACCATTCGGTCTACAGGATCGGGTATGTAGTTTCCAGCGACCACGACAAAAGGGTTCTCATGTCGTGCCATTTTCTCGAAGTGGTGCAGCGATGCCGACTGAAGATACTTACTGACGGGGTCGAGGCAAAGACAAAATATGTAGTATATTAAGCATTTTTCTTCTGCCTATCAAGCGATTTCGTGATTTTTTCTTTGTTAAAACAAAATCTTGTTGTGAACAAGATTTTGTTCAATCGAAACAAATGAATAAAGTGGATGTATCTTAGGTTGTCAGCCTCGAATTTCAGTCATCGAGCGAACAATATCAATATGAAATGGCTGAGAGGTAACGCTTCATTCTCACGTCTGGTAAATATAAATTAAATTGAATATGACTGACTTGTTGCCCGAGCGTTCTTTGACAGTTTTTCTTAAATAATATATGTTAAACGAGTATGAGAATATAGTGATTGATGTCGATGACCTTTGCATTAATATCTTCAATTTTGAAACAGCAATCCTTTTCTACTTTCATTTCAATGAAAAACTTTCAATTTAAAAGATTTACCATTGAAAGTAATGTTTTTTCTATACAACTCGAGTAAGGCTATTAAAAAATCTATCCATCATTTTTTCTTGGATATCGACTTGACCCCAATGAGTTTTTTCAACGAAACCTTAGTACATTTGCTTGTTATTAATAGCTTGAGTTTCAATTCATGGAGTTTATTAAATTTTTTCTCAGTAACGATTGCTGAGATTGTTGAATTTTTTTTTATATTAATTCATTAGCTTTTACACACGGTTTTCTTCGCTTTAATGTAGAATAGAACTATCAGGTTTATCATACTATTTATATTTCTTTTTTCGATTCAAATTTTTCCGATAATTAGTTCATTATGATGTGAAATTCTGATAAAAAAACTGACTATTGTATTTATAGCTTGGAAGGATTCGAAAGTGAATTATCTATACATATAAATAAAATTGGAGTGTCTGTTTGTAATTTTGAAATAGCCGCTTTCTACTACATGACTATAAATATATACGGCACGTTTTTTTTTATTTTTTTTTTATTGCTTAGATGTGTGGACGAGCTCACAGCCCACCTGGTGTTAAGTGGTTACTGGAGCCCATAGACATCTACAACGTAAATGCGCCACCCACCTTGAGATATAAGTTGTAAGGTCTCAGTATAGTTACAACGGCTGCCCCACCCTTCAAACCGAAACGCATTACTGCTTCACGGCAGAAGTCTGTTTGTTGCGGCTAATCTCTGGAACGGCTGGACCGATTTTGATGGGACTTTCACTGATAGGTAGCTGATGATATAAGGAGTAACTTAGGCTAACTTTTTTTAGACTAGCTTCGCCTCGCGGCGTCACCCGCGGTACGACAATGACCGCGGGTTACATCGCGGAACTCAGCTATCAATAATAAAATTTAATGTTTCCGAAGCGAAGCGAGGGCGGGTCGCTAGTAAACAATAATCCCAATTATATATTGATGAGGACTTTTTCAAACGTAACATACTGAAATGAAAATATTTGCTTTTTCAATAAAAGACTCAGAATTCGGGATTATGGCAATGAAACGAACCCTAAAAATTATGTGTTACAAAAGAACAATATTGAATTCGTCTTGGACACGGTTAATGTCACTGTCGACTATACAATAAAGTATGTCATGTCATGGCGGACGTATCATTTGAAATGTTCCATAGCTAATATCGCTACGCGCGTCTAATTTAGGCGCCCTGTATCGTAACTGGTTTTATTAGAATAGGCACTTATAACTATTATATAAATCCTATATACATATACTGGAGAGCATTGTTCTAACCAATGGCCCAGCTAAAAGACGTGGTCCACAATAGAAATCTTTATCTAAGTTGTGGCCGTCCTAAAGAGGGTACGTCTTGTGGTTTAATCTAATATTCTATGTAATTCATTGCTATATGTTACACTGGAAATACTAATTTTATCTGTTTTAATTTTAATACAGGTAACGTTGGTATGGTCATGTCAGGAGATGAGATCATGCGGTTAAGTTCACGCGTGCTTTTAAGCAATTGAAGGGAGATTATAGTTGCATTTAGTATTAAGAACACGTCATTTTAATTTTAAATGAGCCATAAATTTTGTAGAAGAATATAATCGGAAATTAAAACAACTTTATTTTTGCATAGATGGGTGGACGAGCTCACAGTCTACCTGATGTTAAGTGTTTACTGGATCCCATAGACATCTACAACGTAATTGCGCCACCCACCTTGAGACATAAGTTCTAAGGTCTCAGTATAGTTACAACGGCTGCCCCACCCTTCAAACCGAAACGCATTACTGCTTCACGGCAGAATTAGTCAGGGCGGTGGTACCTACCCATGCGGCTTATAAGAGGTTCTACCACTTGATTCTTATTACACCGTGGAAGTCAATCGTGAATATTTGTTAAGTACGTATTTCATTAGAAGAATTAGTAGCCGCCTGTGGGATTCGAACACCGTTGCATCGCTAGATACGAATGCACCGGACGTCTTATCCTTTAGGCCAGGACGACTTCAAATAAATAAAAAACCCACAACCGTAGGTCTAACTTCAAACAAATCGCGATAAAGGTACAAAAAACCGATAGGATTCGCGATTCGTTCAATTATATTGACGGGCATCTATCTCTCTGCGACTGCCGATGGATAACCAAAGGAATTATTTGCTTTAAGTGCTGTTATGGTTAATACCTGTTTTCGCTGTAATATTCTTTTGAAGTTATACTTCTTTAGGCGCGTTATGAAAAATTGATGAGAGTGAAATTTTACGATGCGCGCGAACCGTGACACAAAATTAACAGAATGAAGTTTCCCACTAAATCGCTCATTACAATACGACCGACGTAACTTGGCAAGTCTGAATATAGCCGCAGGTGAAATTTCGCACATGTACACTCGTAAAAAAAAGTGTTATTAGCATTCATTTTTTAGTAAATTAAATGTCAAAATTATTATTTAATATAATTCATACTAAATATTATTAAATTATTAACGTTAAATATTTATTATTAATTATTTAATATTTAAAAAAAAAGAAATAAATTTAATAAAATTAAAGTATAACTTCTTACGCGCGTACATAAGTACACGCACCTTTTTTATTTTTTGTAACTAAAGTCATCTCCTAAGATAGTTGCGGTTAAACTACAAACGTGCTTATTAAGTTAAGGGTTATGTCATTAACATTGCCGAATTGCGAGGGCTAGTGCGCTGCTTGCTCACCATGACAATATGGGGGCTTCTGAAATAACATTCGTATTTTTTCAGTCCCGATTCTGCTCCTGCAATATTGAAATACGCCGATCGTCTACGAGTCAGATTGGAAAAATATTATTTAAATAAAAAAATCGAATTCAACAGTGTTCAGAGCTCATAATATGCTTTATAAGTTCCGGGCGTATTAATTTCTGAATAAATAACATAAGTTTACTGGTGGTAGAACGTCTTGTGAGTCCGCGCGGGTAGGTACCACCATCCCGCCTATATCTGCCGTGGAGCAGTAATGCGTTTCGGTTGGAGAGTGGGGCAGTGGTTTTAACTATACTTACTACTTTTAGTAAGTACTTATAATATTTGGAAAAAATTACAAGAACTATGTTACAGTATAATAATGTATAGATGCGAGATTATCAAATTGCTCCTTCCAGTTGCGATTCACATCAGTGTTACACAAAAGCATCCCCTAAGAAAAGTATTTAAATGAAGTGGTCTTCCGGAAGCAAGGGATGTGGGATAATGTAATTACTGAAAACTACTGTTCAAACAACCAAGAAAACACAATGCTCAAAATAACTTTATACAAATAGATGTTATATTTTTTTGTTGTTTTAAATACCAAATGGTCTTATTGTTTTAACAGACGCCGCGAACGAATAAGCTATTTTAAAAGCAGCTTTCGTCGATGGTTTTAATAAAAGTAACATATCCGAATGGCAATCCATTAGGCTTCTAGAAGTATTAAACTTCTATCAGTGGAAGAGCTATGTGGTTATCTGAGCCCATAGTGGTGGTACCTACTCGTGCGGTCTCACAAGACGTCTTACCACCGAAAAAATATGTCAGCGTGGCGGTAGAAATAATGTGCGACAATGGTACCAGATCTAAGTGCATATTCTCGAAACTATGAAGTCGATGTGGCCTATATGATAAGAAGCCCAGTTTACTCGTATCGAGCGATGCGTCTAATCCTGTGTTCAAATGTAACCTCTTAATAACAATTGAGCCGTGAGCTCTTTCACTCGTCTATGCAATGAAAAAATACTTTAATTTCGAATCAATGGAGTGTCTACAATTTCGTATTGAAATCTTTATTTAGCAAAGAATAGTAATTTTAAAATCATTTTTACTGGTGGTAGGACCTCTTGTGAGTTCGCACGGGTTGGTACCACTACTCTGCCTATTACTGCCGTGAAGCAGTAATGCGTTTCGGTTTCAACGGCGGGGCAGCCGTTGTAATTATACTGAGACCTTAGAAATCATATTTCAAGGTGGGTGGCGCATTTACGATGTAGATGTCTATGGGCTCCAGTAACCACTTAACACTAGGTGGGCTGTGAGCTCGTCCACCTATCTAAGCAATAAAAAAAAAATTTAAGCACCTAGTCAAGTTTGAAAGGAAGCAATGCACTATATTTTAAGAGATTATCATTTCACTCCTACAAAAGATATTTCGCAACGTACAAACAAAAAATAAGAAATTGAAAACCATAAGCGAGTCCGTATGGAAATTCACTCACGTAAACGTAAGTTCAAATCGACTTGAACGCTTTCGGAATAAAGTTGAAATTGTTCTATCGAGATCTTGCACGTGGAATGCTCACATTGATACCGAGAACACAGTTATCTTTAATAGGAAACAGCCGTAGGTGGCCGAAGCAATAATATACTATAATTATTCGACGACAATTTGTGATTTTATACAGACATTTATACAATCAACGATTATCTTTGCAGAAATGCGAATGAGATACTTTCTTATGTATAATATTCCTCCGGGAATCCTTCGGGTAACAGACAACGATAAACTAATTGAATAAATAAGTGCGAGATTTAACCCTAGAAGCAGTTTTAAGAGATCCGAATTATGAAATGTAATTCTGTGGCTGAAACTAGGCAGGAAGGACAGGAGGATTACCAGGAAGACTAAGGTCAGATTGATGAAATGCCTTTTGTTTCTAATGTTTATTTATGGAGCCGTAATCTGGTGCCTTAGACTGCAGAAACCCCGTAAAATCGGCATACTGGATGTGTAATGCTGGAGACGCTTCCGAACGATCCCGTAAACGGCATTCCGCACCAATACATCCATCCTCCAAAGAACTCGGTATCAAAGACCGACTTTCGTTAATTGCACAATTACGGATTTGAAAGTTCTTTGGTGACATATCCAGAAAAGAGGGCTCGATGAAAAGATTAGTGATTCAAGGCCAAGTGGAAGGCAAGAGATCACACAGCCGCTCACCAATCTAATGACTGACCTAATAAATCCTACTCCTAAGCCATCCTCTAAAATATTTGAGACATAAATAATGCATCTGCGTGTAACATCATCACCGCAACTATAACCACTCTGCCAAGAGTGCCCGATTAAGAAGAATGACAGATTAACTGGTATAACTTAACACGTTATGAAGAACGATGAAGCCTTATACCATACGACGGTGTAGATGAATAGTATAAATAATGATTTGTTTTAATAGCGGTGTCAGGTAATCTTTCAAGAAACAATTTATTGCCGGCCTCAGTCAGTGGCGATGGATCAAAGATATAAAATCAGTGACATTCTAAGAGGATTTTGGCCTTTACGATAGCATTACACAAAATGGTTTCAAAGTTTACAAACTATTACTTAACGGGTTCTTACCACGTTTTCACATTTAAGTGCCCGATATTTGGACGCATTGCAAGCGCCACGAACACTGTTTAAAGACTGCGCGTATGATGTTAGGAGCATACAAATCTGCCTAATTTATTTTAGATCCTTTTTTGGTGTTACCAATGGAACTGACAGTCTTTCGTCCAATGTTGTCGAATTACACACACTATTATTTATTTAATAGTTTAATTCGACAGCATTTAATTATTACCCAAATATCATCATCATCATAATCGGTTGCTCTTGGCAGAGCAGTCGTGGCCATGTGGAATTCTAGGCTGAATAAATATCGAGGAAAGTTTGTGCAATAAGGCATATCATAAAGTTAACGATTAATTAACAGATGATGATGCTAATGCATGCAGATGATGTGAGAATGAACAGTTCGCTCCACCCTTCCGACATTATCGAAATATTGAGAACTCATTAAAAGTCATTAATTTCATTATTACTCAACAAAACGTCACTAGAACCCGTTAAATAATAATGTGGGTATAGTATGGGATGTCTCGTAATCGAAGACACAATACTCAATATGTTCCAGATTCGCAATCAGTTTTGGTATTAGTGGCTATCAACCAAGTTTAAAATTATTTTCTAGGGTGATATCTCTAGTAATTTACTATATGCTAGCACCATTTTAACTACGAATGGCATTGACAATATTTGATCTCATCCCAGGAGAGCTATCTCGATAAATCCACGTTGAAAATCAATAAGTCCGTTATTTATTCAAAACGCCACACGTAGTTTGTGTTACGTACGTAACTATCGTTATTTCGCAGGAATTTCGCGAGGGTCGACCAATAAATTCAATATAACCAACATTGTCATGGATGATGTATACGACGCAAACAATTTTGGCACTAAATAAAAAATAATAGTGCCTCCCGCTGTACCCTCGTCAAAGGGATTTCTTGTGACGCACAGACAAACACCTTACCTGTATTATGTGATGGGTTTACGTAATGTGTGTTGATTTATAGAAAACGGTCGATTGTTTTAAACCAATTTTTTACTTAAGTCGAATGTATTAATTCTCATAATAGATTGTGATGACAAGATCATTCTAATGCGAATTTGAAGTCCTGCAACTTTCTGGACCTCTTTACGTTGCTGTGCAACACACGTTTAAGATTTTGATGACAACCACTATTTGAAGGTACCTTTAAATACACTACCTAAATACGATCCTGAAATGGATATTTTAATTATTTTACTTACATTCGTCAGGAAAGGCGCGTTATCGTTTATATCGGTCAGTTCCAAAATGACTTCAGTTGTGGACCTCAAGCTGTCTGAACCTAATCTTCCTCCGTGGTCAGCAGCCATAATCAAGAACTGCCATCTGGTGAATCCTGAGGGTTGGTCCCGGTCCAGTGGTTTGGTTAAACGTAGGCAGCCCTCATTGTCAATTTGCAAGAATTCCTTCTGTTCGTGCTTCACTAGGGAATAGATTATGTTTTGTGGAGCGTTTCTATCTTTTATATCTGGGTCGTAGGCTTCAACCTAAAAAGTGATTAGTACCATTAGATCATGTAATGCAACATGATTTAATATGATCTCGAATGTGTTGTACTGTGTACAAGCTGTACGTTATTAGCTGTTGTGTTATTTGCAAATCATTCGACAGCTCTAACTGGGATGCTAATGTTAACGTTATTTGGATTTAATCGCAGCACAAAATTAGGAAAAGAAGATAAAGTTCTATCCCGTAAAAAAATATTGACCAATTTGGGTTCACACAATTTCAGTTAAGATTTGGAACCCCTGGAGGTCTTTGAATGGGCCTTCAAATTCTTAAAATAACAATTGGGCCTTATCTTCGGTCTTGGCTTTCGGCAGTTGAATACTTATGACTTAATGACATAGGCAAAAAGGAATCTCATGTTGAACAACGATTCCAGTTTCCAGCAGATTTGTATGCCGCAATTCTCACCTTAACTATACACCCTTCGTAAAGCCGTTCCTCTTCAATGGTTTTCGTGTAATTTGTAACAAAAACTGGAGGATTGTCGTTCAAATTCTCAATGTTTATAATGACGACAGCGTTGTCTTCGTATATGCCGTCGCAGGCTCGAACATCGAGTCTGTAACTCGTTATATTTTCGTAATCCAATTCGTTGTTCACTCTGATTTCGCCTGTGAAATTTCTTATCAAGAAGGCGTCGTAAGTGTTTCCCGCTACGATGCTGTAAGATACTATGGAAGCTGAAAAAGTATTCATGATTAGAAACTAGTTCCTTAACTGTCAAACTTTCAGTGATTAAAATTTATGTCCATTGGCCGCGGATAGAATTAAACTGGAGCTGATAAAAGAAAACAAGGTGGCTTTTACTTTTCAAAATTGCCCACCTTAGTTTTCTTAAAAAAAAATGGTGCACGTGCAACTTGGTACACGTGAAGGAAGTGAAAATTCTTTTGGGGTGTGTAGTATTGTGGTTTTCTTCATTTTTCAACCTTAAATCAAATTTATCTTGTAATTGGGAATGTTATGTATAAAAGAAACGATCTAGCTCGCTTTGTCCTTTCCCTCTCTCCACGGTCGGGTGGTTCGCGAAACGTTCTGTCTATTTTCTCACTCTCGCTCTTCCTAATCTATATATTTTCTCTCTAGCCGTAACGAATCTGTCGCGAGTTAAATTGTACTTTCAACGCACCTTAAGAAGTTTCACTTCAGAGTCTAAAAATATACGAGCAAGTACACTAATCAATTATTCGTTAGCCACATATGACGTCATATTTTAAGATTGGTGTTAAATTGTTAGGATGATTAGATTTTCATTAGGTAATTCAGAAAATACAAATCTATGTTTCACGAAAATAAATTTCATGCTATTGATTTCCAGATTGTTTGGTTATTCATGTCCGATTGCTAATTGTTAAGCGACTATTCTAAGATATTACAGTCTTGACATAATTTTTTTTTTAGTAAACTTGTAGAAGCATAATTCGAAATATCGGAAATTGTAATTTTTCCAAAATCAAAAGGAGATGAAACTGTTCCTTTTTGGCAGATTTGGTGATTTTAATTTTCCTTGAGATTCAAATTTTAGTTTCAAAAAGACTCATAGTCGATTTGAGTGACAAAAATAAATTCAAAATTAAAACTAAATTAGTTAATCAATCTTATCATATTTAACGCTCTCGACGTTGTTGACCACATCCGAGCATCTGATCTATATGATAAAATTATTCATCTGAACTTTTCTTACCTGTATCAATGTCTCTAGCGTTCACCACAGTGACGAGTTCATTAATATTAGCATTCTCAGCAATCGACTCCGCAACATAGGTTTGCTGCGTGAAATGTGGCGGATTGTCATTCTTATCAGCGATCTCAATCAAGAAAACTTGCTGTCCTGCATTGTGTTTCCCCGGTATAAGGGCTGATTCAGAATTATCGGTGGCTATGATCTTAATATTGTAAAAGCTACGTTCTTCCCGGTCAAACATCTTTAAGGTTGTGATGTTCCCGGTGATGCTGTCTATAGCGAAAGGGTCTGACGGGTCTCCAAGTTCGTAAGTGACTTGGTTGTTGGCTGCGGTCCCATCTGCGTCGAATGCTCGCACCTGCATCACGGGCGTGCCAGGATTCTCGTTTTCTAATACACTACCGGAACGGATTTCGCTGAATATCGGTATGTTGTCATTGACATCTTCCACTTCGATCTGGATTATTGTTTCAGCTGCTAATTTATAATTATTCTGTGAAATAAAGATTGGTATGAAACTTGAGGGTGTTGCAACAGAAAATAGAACTCATAACGAACGCAATAAGAATTGTTTATTTATTAATTTTTTATTGCTTAGATAGGTGGACGAACTCACAGTCCACCTGGTTTTAAGTGATTACTGGAGCCCATAGACATCTACAACGTAAATGCCCACCCACCTTGAGACATAAGTTCTAGGTCTCAGTATAGTTACAACGGCTGTCCCACCCTTCAAACCGAAACGCATTACTGCTTCACGGCAGAAATAGGCAAGACGGTGGTACTTACCCGTGCGGACTCACAAGACGTCCTACGAGTAAAGTAAGAATTAATGAAAGTGAACAATAAAATAAAAATTCAATATAAGAGAATTTTACTGACCTGTATTCTCACAGTGAGGGTGTAATCAGTTATCTTCTCATAGTCCAAGTGATTCCCTAATTTAACGTAAGCTGTATCGGCTTCGGGTTCCAGAACGAATGTATGCCATTTATTTGTTTGTTCTGTTTGGCCTTGAACTAATTCGAACTGCAGCTTGTTCTCGTCCGGTATGTTGGAGCTATGTAATAAGAAAATATGATCATGTTTCAACAAAAAACTGAAAGTACAATCGATTTACGTAATACCGTAAACTCGAAGCCTCGTAACTTCAATGTTTATTCATTTTATAAATAAACACGAGCGCTTGTTTACGAACTCCACAAGATGGATCGTTCTGAATTTCATCAAGAACTAACCTCAGTTTAATATTATAATTACAATAAAATGTACTCCCGAAGTTTCGAACAAATGTTTTCATAATTAAATTGTTAGTTCGAACTCCGTCTAAAAGATTATAAACTCATCCGAATTCAGTAGCAAGTTTCGAAAATTTTACTTACACCGCCCTTATTGTAGCTATTGGTGTGTTGAAATCTGCGTAATTTTCTTTTAATCTGATGGGTCCGTCTGGAACTTCTATGAATGATGGGCTCTTCTTGTTGGATTCGACAACTTGTATGTCTAAACTTATAGAACTTTGTTGTTGCTCAACGCCTTTGTCTGTGACTATGGCGCTCAGTTTAAATTTATACCCGGGCGGTTTCTAAAAGACCAAACGATATTTTATTAATAGTAAACATTGAATTTACCTAATGCACTTTTAGTAGCACAAACATATTTAAATAGCATTTTGTTTTTTTGTTTTTATTAATAACCTTTATTTAGTTTATATTGCATGGACACAAACATTACATCAATTTAATATGTGAATAAATAATTCATAATGATATACATAACTATAAATATTGATAGCATACTTACATCAATTGTCTTATTTAAAAATATGACACCATTGTCTGGATCAATAATAAAATATGCTCCATCCGGAGAATTGGGGTCTAATTTATAATTTACTATTGAATTGTTTCCATCGTCTATATCTGTTGCTGATATCCTCATCACCTCTCTTCCGCTCGGCAGATCTTGAGGGACTGACTCCGAATACGACTGTATAATTAAATATTATTAGTGTTTTAATTAAATAATTGATTACAATTGCTTGTAGGCTTTGATTGTTGTCACAAAACATTTTTTTGGAATTAGCTTGTATTGATGATTTCAGTCGATACATTATTAAACAGACATGATCTACGCAAAGCATGCCCGAAGCTTAAAGATAGTATTACTTCCGAAATAATAATAATCGTGCAGTGTGATAAAATGCGCTTCAGGGGAAAAGAGCGGCCTAGCTAAACAAAACACACCGACTACTTAATGTGCAAAGAAAGTGGATTGAAAAAACACATTAAACTCATTCAAAAATTACCGATAACGCCTTGAGTGGCGGCTTATGATCCTAAAACATACAGCAACATGCAAGTAAAAGGAACACTTTAATATTTCAAATCGTTAATAAAAACACATTTGGTACCACTGCTTCACACTGTTCTACATAAGAAAATTAATATCAATAAATTTAAAGCAGTGTTACCAATAAAGAAACAAGTTAGTGATAGTTTAGTGTTTGTGCGGAACTCTTCGGTTCGTATTCGTGAAATTGGCTTTTTATTTTTGGACAAACCTTCCATACGTCTCCACGGAAGACCTTTGAAAAACAGGCAAGCGTTAATATAGTCTGCGCCACGTTTTGAGGCTAATGAACGAATATACTGTTAGTCACATTCAATTGTATACATACAAAAATATAAATACGAGAGAACTATATTTGTTATGTTAAGGAATGATGTTTCATGGCTAAATTATTAAATTTAGACGCGGCGGATCTTTCACTTGATGATTTATTAATTAAATTAATACTCTAATATGTTAGATACTTACAACTTTATCGAAAACAGGCGGATTGTCATTAATGTCCTCAATGATGATTTTAATCGTGCACGCATCGTCAAGTTGAGGTTGGCCGTTGTCACTCGCTCTCACTGTGATATATGCTTCTTTCTCTCTGGACGGCTCGTCGTGATCAAAAATCTGTATTTTTATAACGTTCATTAAACTAATAACTTTGAAAGGTCGAAGGTAATTTCACCTACCTTGTTTCCAAATTAAGACCTACCTTGATAAATACGCTACTTCCTTTGAACTATCCAAACGAATTTCGAACAGTATATGTATACAAAAAATTATATGGCTAGGTAAGATAATTATTGACTACTCTATAGCTCGAAGGGGTGTTAAGTATACTCACGTCCGCTGTGGTGATATTCCCACTTGCGGGATCGACGTGAAATCTTTCCTTTTCACCGGGAGTGGAGACGAATTTGTACGTGACAGTTCCGCCCATTTCCGGCGGATCCCGATCTTCGGCATGTACCTGGATGTTAAATCATTTAGCTATCATTGACCGCAGTCAGGATTTTCGTCCGAGTTGGTTTTATTTGGAGAAATTAATCGAGAAACTTTACTGGGAATAGTATTGAGTAGAAGTATGAATGCGTTTCGGTTTGAAGGGTGGGATAGCCGCTATTTGTTAAAACCTTGACTTAGAACTCATGTCTCAAGGTGGATGGCAATTATCTTTTGTTGATTCGTAAATAAACAGAAAGGCCTCGACATGTATCATCAATCACTTTTATTTAACATATGTAATATAGTAAAGGTGTTTTTCTTTTATCCTGACTATGTTATGTATTTATAAAATCAAAATGATTTGAGAAAAGGTCATTTTCATTATTACTAAATAGTAGTCGTAAAATTTTAAAACATAGTGTTTATATTCAAACGCGTTAACGAAGAGATTTTTTAAATTTTTAATGAACCGTTTTTCCATCAATACCGAATTTAAAATAGCAAAAAAAAAAACAAAAGAAGTCACTAAAGTATGCCCCAGTTGCAGGAAAACACACTACAGTCTTCATTTATTATTACTGGGTCCTTCCAACAGTTTATTTGTGAGTTACACAACTGGATCTATTTCTTGTGACCAAAATCAGGTCAATTTATTAAACACATTCGGTTCGGTAAATGTAACATTGATTGATATCGTGTCTACCGAAATACACACGTGCTTGTGAATTATTACATATCATGTCAGACTGTTCACGCGATGTTGCCCCAAAATTTTCGATAAATAGATTTACCGTTGTATCTAAAGGTATTGTGGAAAATGCCGAATGTAAATCTAATTTTGAATAACGTTTTAAAGACTGCAACAATCGATCTTCTACAGGCTTTAAAGACTTTATTAAGATCGAAATAAGGAAAGCCAAGAGCATTTCTAAGACTAGCAAAACGTAGAGCGGAGATATTAATATTATAATATGCGATATTCGTAGTGCGCACGTATCGTGTATTAAATCTATATATTAATACGTGAAGCAAAAACTGTGTATCCCTTTTTACGAAAATTGCGCGGACGGAGGAGTATGAAATTTTCCACACTTATAGAGAATATAGAGAAGTGCACAATGCTAATATTTTTTTTAAATAATGCATAAAAGACACATTAAATCAATAAAGAAAACATTACACACACTACACACCATGTATTTGACGCACACACGCATGCATACTATTTATTGTCAAACTTTTGTTCTTGACGTCTGTTGTCAAATTGAGAATACATTAAATATTGTTTGCCTTTGTTAATATTTTTTATAGTGTAGTCTTGGCGAAATTTGTGATTATAGAAGTATAAAATACAATCATAATAGTGTACAAACTTACAATTCCAATTAACTATAGTCGAATTTCGACTACTGCGGGACCTCTAGTTATTTTAAATTCTAAAGATAATTCAGTTTAGTTTTATTCTGAACTTTGTCAGTTCTGTTTGCCAGACATCGCCACAAATGGTTATCTGTGTCAGAATATTTCAAGCTTATTAGTTTTGGAAAGACCATTTCAGAGTGGAACGTGTAATTTCACCATTTCATTGAAACTTTGTTTAAAACAAATTTTGGATGAAAAATCATTTAGAATACAAAAGTTTTCATGAATTGATTGGTCACAGCAAAATACTCGTCTTAGATTTCCTAAAAAAACGATTGAATGGGATATGCAGATTCATAAATATGTACATATATGTAATCCGATTAGTATTGCTAGAATCATAGTATTTTAATAAATATTTTTCCTTCACGTTATTATATTCAACTCATTTGGGTCATCGTTCTCATGTCTAGAGATGATGGCACGTTGTCTCTATGGGTTCTTTATCGCTTAAAAAATGAAGAGGATAGTGTTTTTAGTTTTGAAAAGGATAACTATGCATTATTAGTTGATATTCAATGAAAATTTGCTTTTATCTGTTGCGAGATTTTTGTTCGCTTAGATATATTTTGTTTTATTGCCCTTGTAGGCAGACGAGCACACGGCCCACCTGATGGTGAGTGGTCACAATCGGCCATTGACTTCAGCAATGCCAGGGGCAGAGCCAAACCGCTGCCTACGCAGATAGTGATAAGTCTTCAAAAATTAATTATACCTTTCAAACTAAAATTCACTATACAAAAAAATCGTAGAGCAAGAAGGGGTTGGTTTTATTGTAAGAATTAAATAAAGGATTTATAACTACATTTTGTTATTATTGATTTATAGGGATAGGCAAGAATAGGGAGAAAAGAAATCAGTCGACCTCCTAAGTAGTTCGCTAAGGAATCGTGAAATATTATAGAAAAATAGTGTGTCCACAATCACTCGTATTATTCTATGCAATTTTCTATATTCTTACATTTTATTTTTCTTTTTCTCTGATATATGTGTAATGTTTTTATGTTATGTATAAATGTGTATATGATTTCAAATGTATGAGAATTTGTATATAGATATAACGTCGGCAGGGCTGCGTCCATAATGCTTATTCTTCGAACAGTTGTCGTCGTTAGGTAATGTTGGAGAAACGAAACACAGTATTAATGTACTCGGTCAGATTATAATGTCTGATCCACAACTTAGGTAGGTACGTATATAGCAACACGCAACGGTTCAAATTCGACCGCTCTAGCCGACTGCCCCACGATAAGTGTTGGTCGTGTGTCGGTCGGTGAATAGTTGACCCATCGGATCCGACAGACGGCGCTTGCGTCCCGTATCACGTATTGGCTGCAGCAATCACGTGTTGATTGCGACATATATACGTGTTAATTTTATATTATTATCATGATATAATGTTAATGTTTACTAACAATCACGCTACGTTAACTGGTGCCGTGCTAAGTTCGTAAAGAACTTGTATTACGGGTACCAGATAACGGAAATAAATGTAAGATTTTTATTATACACATACATATATTTAATAAACATCCATAACCCTGGAAAAGACAATTTATATTTATCATACAAATATCTTCCCTTGGCGGGGTTCGAACCCGCGACCCCCTTGTGTAGTGACCATGTCACTTACCACTACACCAGACGGCCGTTAAACGTTATTGTGTACGTTGTGTATGTTATGTTGATATATGTATACCGCGTGTGTGTGTGTTGTATATAATTTTATTATTAATCTTCTTATTTTCGCAAAAAGGAATACTCCATCTTGGTTGACTGGTAGAGATTGCCTCAGCCATTAAGTCTACCATTGCACCTTTGTGCATAAATAAAAATAGTTTCTTACCTGGAATACGAATGTGCCCACAGGTGCCTCTTCTTTTACCGTGGGCCTGTAGTTCAAGCAGTTTGTGAACAGTGGCTTGTGGTTGTCCTTTACGGCCAGCTTGGGTGATGAGGCTGGTACGTACTGAAACCGCGTTAGATTGTGCAAACATATTATCATTGGACAAAATCAATCCTGACCGATTTTCGTACAAGACTTTTGAAAAAAAAAACTTTGATATTTGACATTGATTTTTATCAAAAAAAGTTATTGGATAAATTATGGATAATTTATTGATAAAAGCCCCTTGAGGCATTTTTATTTTCTATTAACTTCTGTAATGGAAAAAAAATGAGCTTCCTGATGTATAAAGCTAAAAATCTTGTTATATTACTCGAGCTTATTTTATTTCCTTCTAATATCTAATATCTCTTGTACAAAAATCTTTTCGAATTAATTTGATTTTTAAACGGTAGGTTTTCAAGTATTTCTTTTAAGTATTTCGAATTTTGATTCGCATTTCAAACAAAGGTGATTTTTAAGCCATTACCTATTAGATAATCCTGGTTAGTGCTTGGTTAAAATCGATTAAGTATCAAAATCAATATGTCGTTACATTAAAAATGATTTTAATACCTTAATCCTGGCTGTGCTTGTTGTAATAAAAATTGACAAGTGAAATAACAAATAGATATGTATATAAACATATACTTACTAAATTCCTGGGTGGCTTCAAAAATATATGTTAGTTTAGACTACCTACACAGTGTATTTGTAAACAGTCAATTAACTTTGCATTTCCGTTAAAACTAATAAGCGTCTATGCGAAAAGCTTCATGTTGAGAAATTTCCGAGATTAATTTTAAGGTGTTATGTAAGTTAATTCACTGTGTGTAAAAACTGTTGCCGTACTGACTATTTCATGAACTGTGTATTTATAAAGACACCCATACAACGAATTACGCGGACTATTAATATTAGTTTGGAAAGTTCTTTTTTTCTATAATTATAATCCATTTACAATAAACTGCTTTTAGTGGATATTAACAAAAAAACGTCAGCACGGTAACCGATTTTTCTAAATTCGAATATAAAATAAATAAATACGTGCATTGTAAAAAGTACTATTGTAAAAAGTAAAAAGCGATAAATAAACATGAAACTCTATAGGACCGAAGCTCAGTTGGGAGTGATAGTGGATGGTAGGCGTGTTAGACTTTGTTTTACTCACGGCTGTGTGTATTGGCATGTAGCCCTCTAGGTGTCTTGAATGCCTTAACCTGGTCACGTGGTGTTTGTAATCACGTACTGTGAACAAAAAAGAAAACAAATTATTATTATTATTATTATTTGCGAACTGTAAATGACTATGAACATTTTATTAAGATGTAATTTTTTTAATTAATAACACCACTGAATATTAAATTAATCTGTGCTAGGACTTTCTCCTGTGTTATGGAAAACTCAGAGAAACAGGAACGAGTCGACCTTGCAGGGTCGATACGATTCAATTTATTTTATTGCTAAGATGGTTAGACGAGCTTACGTCCCACCTGGTCTTAAGTGGTTACGCCACCCATCTTGAGATATCAGTTCTAAGGTCTCAGTATAGCTACAACGGCTGCCCCACCCTTCAAACCGAAACGCATTACTGCTTTACGGCAGAAATAGTTGGGATGGTGGTACCTACCCGTGCGGACTCACAAGAGGTCCTACCACCAGTAATTACGCAAATGATAATTTTTGCGGGTTTGATTTTTATTACACGTTGTTATTCCTGCACCGTGGAAGTCAATCGTGAACATTTGTTAAGTACGTATTTCATTAGAAAAATTGGTACCCGCCTGTGGGACTCGAACATCGATGCATCGTTAGATACGAATACACCGGACGTCTTATCCTTTAGGCCACGACGACTTCATACAGATGGGAGACAACGTTTATCCTGGCTTTTCTTCTAGGTGTCGAGGGAGGGCTCATCTCTGATTAATGCTACGGCGGTAGGGGTTTCTGAGGATTTTCAATAAAAAGAATTCCCTCTAATAATTGCTGTTTTGGTCGCACAAGCTTGGTTCCACATTGTGAGCTCCTTCCTCAGTACGCTTTCCCCCCAGTTATAGGAAAGTGTGGGATTACTTTCCTGACGATTTTCACAGTGAGTAAAAATAATAATTTATACTTTATTTATCAAAAATGTTGAATTTAAATAGACTTAAAAACGTTATCGTAATGTAATATGAGATTTTATTTTTGTTCAATACTAGTGCCTAAAAAAAGTCGAATAGTCAAGAGCTATCGACGAAACCATTGATAAGAATTCCAAAGAAACCCGCGCGTTTGGGCCACATACGAGGTTTTATAGTCGGCCCTTAAAGGTTTTGTACTCCAAGCGGAATCCGTTGAGTTGGTCGGGTGTTTGTTGGTAGCTTTGTGCGCTCAAGCCACACGTGCTCATCTCCTTTGTCCGCTTATTCAGAATATTCCCATTTGTATTAAGACGATGCCATGTATTCAATTTAGTTGAGACGTCTCTGCTTTGGACAATGGAAAGCAGTTGAATAGTTAACTAACGTACCAAAGGTAACCTATACATGTCGGATTCATCCGATCGATCGGATCAAATATTATTGGATCATATATGTATAATAGATTAGTATATAGGTATATCGATATACGATTCAAACTTTTGTACAAAACGATATATTTTTAATAATAATTATGCATATTACGTAGACATTAGTGCATACAGTATTGTAACAGTGTACAGGGTGTCCGCACGGGTAGGTACCACCACCCTGCCCATTTCTGCCGTGAAGCAGTAATGCGTTTCTGTTTGAAGGGCGGAGCAGCCGTTGTAACTGAGCCCTTAGATCTTATATCTCAAGGTGGGTGGCGCATTTACGTTGTGGATGTCTATGGGCTCCAGTAACCACTTAACACCATGTGGGCTGTGAGCTCGTCCACCCAATTAAGCAATACAAAATAAAAATAAAAACTTAAGATTTAGTTTTTGTATGAAGTGATATTTTACATTTTTATCGGATTTCGCATCTTAAATTTCATTGGTATAGATTACTATAGATGATTATTGAATGTCACCTAGAAATATGAGTACGAAGTCTCACAATATAACGGTGACTTCAGCCGGACGTGATCAGAATATACTTTTAGATTATATGTACTTACGTCCCTAATTATTAAGTACTGCCACAATTGTGAACATTAAAAATTGAGGACGATGTTTTAAGAATCTTTGGAGAATTAATCCCCTCAACCAGTTTTCTTCCAGTTACTAGTTATTAATTCATTTGAGTAAACGTGATACAACATACTTTGTCTCTGTCTTTCGAACACGAATGTATAGATTTTACGGGAGACGCTAAAACCGTTTTGCTTTAAGGTGTATTATGTATTTCTTTCTTTATAAATTTTCTTTGTAGCGTTCGCGATCCGCTCATCCGATTACGAAGAAGCTCTGTACATTGTTGTTAGCGCTTAAGATAGGTTTATGTCAGGTACCGTCAACGTACGACAGATGGCGTGTGAGTTTCAACAAATGTGCGTAACATAATCGCGATAGCTACAGAGAAGCATGTCTGAGCCCGTGCTCGCCAATCTGTTCGGGTGAAACTGAAAAGCCCTCCTTGCTACTAATAATCCTTTCTTCCTAAAAAAGAAACAATTAAAAAAAAGATGTGTCGTGTCGTCGGACACCGGATAGGAACGAAGTTCTTTATTATCAAAATATTAATTTTAAGTTCTATTCGATTATATTATTATAAAGAAAATAATTTATCGGGTAAAAATTTTTTATTATGATTTTTTTTTGATAAAAAAAAACTACTTTACGAAGTTATCAACTTTATTTTATTTATAAAAAAAATATAATAATAATATACACAGAAACAGCTATTTATATGAATAATAATAATAACCGTCATCACGTAGACTATATATTAGACACTATAGCCATCATACTAAGACTATACATAAATAATAAAAATCTTACGTTACGGACGTTTTTTCCCGATTAGGGTACCCTCCGCATCGTCTCATAAGGAACTTCGTTCCAAAAATTGCCTGGTATCACTTGTTTCTTATATAATGCCAAAATCTTTGCCGCTAATGACATAGTCCAATCAAATTCCGATCAGCATTATTTCCTCGTGCCATTGACTTGTTCATGATCGAAATGTAATAATTCACTAAACCTCACTGCCGCATACAAAACTATCCGAACAATTTCCTATAAAGGAGCCCTTTGTAACCTAAATCCTTTCATTAGGTAACCTTAACACTCCCTGTTATTACGCTTGAAATTTGACAACCCAGTTTTATCGGCCTGTAATTAAGAATTTCGTGCTTACGCCCTTGAATATAAAGGTTTTGTCGAATCAAACGTTGATTATTATAGAAATGGGGGTACTCTCTAAATTAATTCGTAGTGTATTTTGAGTTATTGAAAGCAAATGCTATTTAAGGAATAATAATAGAAGGTACTCATGTGGATGCAGTGGCTTAATTTAATGTTGCCGTTCGTAATAATACCGCAGGTTAGAAGTATTAGATGTATTGGTGGTAGGACCTCTTGTGAGTCCGCAAGGGTAGGTACCACCACTCCGTCTATTTCTACCGTGAAGCAGTAATGCGTTTCGGTTTGAAGGGTGGGGCAGCCGTTGTAACTATACTGAGACCTTAGAACTTTTATCTCAAGGTGGGTGGCGCATTTGCGTTGTAAATGTCTATGGGCTCCAGTAACCACTTAACACCAGGTGGGCTGTGAGCTCGTCCACCCATCTAAGCAATAAAAAAAAATTCGCCTTTTTTTTGGCATCGATGGGCATTTCACTCGGACGATTGACCCAGAAATACCTTGACATATGACCCTCTTTTTTTTTGCAGCACACGGACAATTAACAACAACGCCACTGTCCACTTTCATATATGAGGTTTAGATCTGAATTGAGTTTTATAAGGACTGTCCTAGACCTAGCCTAGAAATCTAGAATATAAAAAAAATAGAAATAAGAAAGATGGCACCTACCCGCGCGGGCTTACAATATGCCTATCCACCAATGTAACGCCACAGACACTTCTAAACGTATGTTCCTAACGTAAGCGTTGTTATTTTATTATGTTGTTATGTTAATTAGACACAGAGCAGCACGTTGTGTATCGCATACGAAAAAGCAATGTACAGTAAAATACAGGGTGTTTCGAAATAGTTATCAAAGCCGATATGATAGGAAACTACCAGCTTACAGTAAACTCAGAACATTAATTTACTAATCAAAGTTTAGATGCTTTTAGTACCTAAGTCCAAATTTCACGAACTGCAACAAAATTCAATGGAAGGCGAAAATAACCGCAGGTCATTGACCCGGCGAGCTATTTAATTTTCGAATCAGGGAAAATAAACGCGATTTATTTAAGTCCTATAGTATTCGTTTTCGGATACGCTTCCAATACACGCTGTATTTATTAAAAGTTTTCCAGGTAGCGTTATCCGTTTAAGGGAAAATCCATCGGTCCTTTAGTTGCGGCTCCCGTACCAGAATTATCGTATAAATGGGGAATAGCACGCAAGGTTTAACTCAAAGGGATAGGGCGCTTTGATATGCCGAAGCAGGTATCTTGGAGAATCTTTAGACGGTAGATTAAATACAAAATAATGTTTACGTGCTGCGAATGTTTGTATGTGGTTTTTTGTTTGCCAGTTTGCGTTTTGAAGTCTTTTTCGGTTGTTAGATAATCGGTATTGATAGCCAATTAAGCCGTGAGGACTGTGTTGTCATCTGTCCTCTTCTCTCCGTTTATCTCTTCCCTCTTTATCGTTTTGACAAGTCGTAGACATAATTAAAAAACGGACAATTATAAAGTGACCATGAAAAGCGTAAATTAATCGAAATGTCAGAAATATTACGATGAAAATAACGTAATGCTAAGTCTTAAAAGCAGTTTTAATTATAACATCTCTTGATCTATGAAGTTGCCGTTTCACAATACTAGCTATTTGATACGTAATTTATGTATGGTTAGCAATCTGTTCTAATTCAAATGAATTTAGACCCAAACGTTTATTAAATAAGACCTAATATATATTTAGCTTCAGCATCTCGCTTATGTGTATGATGTCATACGAACCAGCTGACGAATTAAGATAGTACTAGATGATGACCGAGCTTTGCTCGTTTTTTTTTTTGTTTTGTTATAACGCCATCTTGTTGTGTCTTTAAAGCAGTAAAAATAGTATTATTATTCGCCAATAGATGTCGGGAAGAGTCATAAAGTTGATTATCGATAAAGTT